GAGAATCAGAGAGAGACGGGAGAAAGTGTGAAAGGAGGATTAGTAATGGACGCTATGTTTAAGGAGGAGGACACAGAAGTTTTCCTGCTCTTAAAGCTACCAACAGTGCCTATTCCTCCTCCAGGTAGATGTACATCTTGAGAGAGGGTAAAGCCTTACAAAACGAGAAAGGTAAATATTAGGAAGTGGTTTTGTTATGAGTCGAGTAAAGAAGTCGAGCACGGACGTTACTGCTTATATTCAGAGTCAAGTGCAAAATTAAAAAACTGAGTGAGACCTTACGACTGGCGGTTTACCGTCAATCAGTTCGTCTTGGCGTCAGGCCCCTTGAGGACCACGACCAGAGATTTTTTTTTCCAACTGAACTCTTGCGGTAATAGTCCCTATGTAACATCCTCTCTGACGAGAAGATGGGTTAAAAACTGAATTTCTCTTCAATCACACATAAAAATTTAATTCGTACCTCACAGGAAACGCATTATTTCTCCGCTATGAAACCAACCAGTTAATGCTGCATAGAGACAGAGAGACGCTGTTTATTGTGAGAACCCGGCGAAAGACAGAAATGCGCTCTGTGGGGTGAAAGTAGGTGGTGCGTTTAAATCACGGGAGTTTAAGAGTTTTTAAATACGTGTGGTTGGCCTATGTCTACCGGAACTTACCTTACTGTGGGAAAGGGCGAACGAACGATAATAATGACGATGACTGAACCAATAAATGACAATGAATCATAAAAATGAAACAATCAAAATTTCCAGCGTTAGTAATAAAAATATTAAAAGACGCTATCGAATGGATAATAAATACAAAATAAAAAATCTAAGAGCACGAGGAGTTTTTTTGAGAATATTCGCTCTCGTTAATGCACCAAGCCGTGGCATAATAAGATCGTGCTACCTGAGCAATGATACAAATGAAATAAAAACTTTTCGTTACCTTTTTGCAATGCAGATTAAATAAAAACCTACAACCTTGATGTTCAGTGGCATCTAACGGTCACGGTATGATTCAGCTTGCTACTACACTGGTGACACCTGCCGAGAGTCTTAGCACTTAAGCCAAGTATCGTAGCAATTCTCTTCGCGCATTCAAAATACAGGCTGCACACAATTATATGCCTATTTTATATAAATGGGGGGACAGATAGACTGGATTGAAGCGTTCCTAAATCCATTCAGAAATTTTTGTTCGCTGTGTATCGAAATATTTCTCCTGTACATTACTGAAAAAAGCTGTATGTCTCTTTTTAAAACTTTTATAAAATCACATGGTGATATACAGGGCCCGGATTTTGATGGCATGTCATCTTTCTTTTCTTGTATCCTATGCGATGCTCTTAAATATATAAATCTCGGATATGAGCTGCTGGTTACAGAAATGTAAATTTTATAGGTAATTTTTTGACATTTTTAGGTTTAAGATTTTTTTTTTCATTTTGGGGGTAATTTTTTGGTAAATTTTTGGACTTTTAAGGGTATTTCTCGTCATTTTTGGCCATCTTAGGGAATTTTTCTTCACGTGTTTTCTGAAATGTGAATAACATGGAAGCGAAGTATTCTTTCTTCTCTCCTTTAGGTTATTTTTCTGGATTTTTTCTGTCATTTTATAGGTCATTTTTTGAATATTTTCAGGTCATCAAAATCCGGGCCCTGCATATTACATTTTTGGGTCATATTTTTGGTAATTTTTCTTGATTTTCGGTCATTGTATAAGTAATTTTTTAAATATTTTCAGGTCATCAAAATCCGGGCCCTGCATATTACATTTTTGGGTCATATTTTTGGTAATTTTTCTTGATTTTCGGTCATTGTATAAGTAATTTTTTAAATATTTTCAGGTCATCAAAATCCGGGCCCTGGTGATATACAATATACATATTTTATGCATCCTGTGTCAGATCCTTAAAATCCAGCTATTAATCTGAGAACGAAATTTTTAGACATCCTGTTTTAAAAAACCCTCTTTCAGCCTGAGAACGATAAACACTACATATTTCTAAATATCCAATGTAATTATTTTTAAAACTTCTCCTTCAGTCTCAAAAAAAAAATAGTTTGTAATCATCATGAACTAAATTATTATAACGACGAACTTCAGACATGGACGTAAAGTGTGCAGATAAGCGATTGTGCTCTATTACTTGTAGTTAAGTGCTGAGTGTAAAATGTATCAACAAATCTAATCATCTAATCCAGTACCCATCAGTAGTAACATCTTTAACACATGACAATATTATTAGCCTTGTATTACATGGCATTAACCTAGTAAAGCCCTATCTTTATTGTACTATGTACTTTTACAGCACGGTGGTTACTATATGTACCACCTGCTTTAATATACCAAAACTCTGCATTCTGCCCACACAGTGCTGAAGTGTGTTCCATATGATTCTCACAATAAACAGCATTAACCGGTTGGGCTTTATAGCGGAAAAGGGAGTGTTCCCTGTGAGGTTCGTACTGAATTCGTATATATTTATTCCGACATGAATCATGCTGCATATCCGGCAACTGGTTTCGGGTTCAACTGTGAGAATTTATATTTGAAAGCCACAGTGCCCTAATCCGTGATCAGTTATAGCAGTCACAGCGTTACGGTATAAACGGTATTGTACACGGTACATTACATTTTGAATGTTTCACTTTCATATTGCCCAACGAGGAGATAAAAAAATGACCGAAACTTTCTAAAACAGATTTAAATCTTGTTTTGTAGCGTGACTGTGTAAAACTTGCGATAGTTCGTTTACTTTCATCTTCGGACAACTGACTGAAATATTTGATGTATTAATAATAATAATAATTTACGCCCCTACGTATTCCTCGGCTCCAGCCACACGTGCGTGTTATATACATCTCATGACGTCATATTTCCGCTAAGATCTTCAGAGGGCTCTGTCGTCTGGAAGAACGCAAAAAACGAGTGCGCTTGCGCTTGTGCGTCTACGAGTATGTGGCCGGGGGTGGGGTGTAAAATGTTTTCATTCCTTCCGTCTTCCAGTCTCCCTATGTTTGATTTTGTAATTTTTACCTCCACTGATGCTTCACAGCCTTCTTCAGGGATTCCATTTCTACCGTTTTTCCTCCTTTTCTTTTAATATATTCTTCCATTTTAATGTCTCTTTTATTTAAACCTTCCATACTTATTTTCTTTCTTCTTTCTTTTATCAATATCCTTTTTCCTTCCTTTGGCTTCCTCTTTTTATTTTCTCGGTTTCTTTCCCTGTTTATTTCTTCTATACATCTCCTTTTGTTTGACTCACTCACTCATGGGGCTGAACCCTTCTTGAGAAGCTGCTATTGATGTAACTTCCCAGCATTTTGTGGAATCCGAAGGTTCATTACCGTGTTCACAAGAGCCCTCCACTGATTCATATCCTGAGCCAGACCAATCCAATCCACACCATCCCATCCTATCTCTCCAAGATCCATTTTAATATTATCCACCCACCTACGCCTTGGTCTTCCCAGTGGTCCTTTCCTTCTGGCTTTCCCACCAATATCCTATACGCATTCCTCTTCTTCCCCATTCGTGCTACATGCCATGTCCAACTCATCCTCCTTGCTTTGATCATTCTAATTATACTTGGAGAAGAGTACAAGTTATGAAGCTCCTCATTATGCAGTTTTCTCCAACCTCCTGTCACTTCATCCCTCTTCGGTCCAAATATTCTCCTCAACACCCTGTTGTCAAACACCCTCAGGCTGAAAACCCACTGACGTGACTAGTCGCGAGCGGCTAGCCGCTCTTTGTCGCGCGCGTCCGTTAGTTGTACATATTAGGCGTGCGACAGCTCTGCCGCCTGTGTGCCGCGTTCCAAAACTTAACCGCGTGCGGCTCATAAAAGCAATATAAATACCGGCCGCGAGCGACAACACTCGACAAACCGCGCGCGGCTTGTCGCGTCACTGGGTTTTCAGCCTCAGTCCCTTAATGTCAGAGACTTTTCCAGTTCCTTCTTTTCGTGATACGTGTATATCTGTTCTTACGAATTAATTTATTTATTTTATAATATCTTCAGCGATTCTGTCTGCTCCTCAGACTACACAGCGCCGAATCGCATGGTGCTTACTTCCCAATGAAATGACGCGGGACTAAGCCGTCTTCACACAATTCGAGGCAGTATCAAGGCAACGGCCTGGAGGGACTGCGGAAGACCATGATGTAGGAGCATAGTCGGTCTCCCATCCGAGATTGGAATCAGACATCTTCCGAATAATAATAATAATAATAAGCGTTTCTACTTGAACGAACTTTCATGTTCTATATAATTCCTTACGTTTTATCTTCAACTTTTGTTTCGATGCACGCGGTAGCGTAGTTGGTTGAGGCACTATTATGCAAACCCTGGAGGTCGCGGGTTCGATTTCCGATGAGAATATTGCATTTTTTTGACCTAATACTTCCGGCCGTACTATGGCCCTGAGCTTCACTCAGATTCTAACAGAAATGAGTACCAGGAATCTTCTTGCAGGAAAAAGGGCGGCCGGTGCGTAAGGCTGACAGTCTCACCGCCATCTGTGAGTCAATTGTCTAGAGAAAATGTGGGAGCCTCGACGTCTCACAACCCTATGGGCCTCCACGACTTGTTACAGAGATAAATTTACTTTTTTTTACATATTTTGTTTCATCCGTTTTCTTTTAGTAATTTTTATCTCATTCACATTTTCTCTAGTTACCTCTTCCACTTATATATTTGTTTTTTTCACGCTTTCCTCCCATTTTTTCTTCCTTATCATCTTCTGTTATTTCTATCTATACTCTTTCTGACATATATTTTTATAAAGAGTTCTGTCTTCGGGATATAACGCTGTGTAATCTGTTTAAAGTAAAAAAAAAATAATCCGAAACGTCGGTTAACATTCACCGCACTACACCGCGTTACATACCAGCAGACAGAACTGTTCATAACGACCTCTGTGAGGCTCTCAACCCCTATATCTCTTTCACAGTGTTCCTCCGTGCTTCCAGTAACGAACATTATCTGTGTTTGGTTGCAGGACCACATACAGGAAGTGCTGGACAAGTGGACACAGATCGACGACGAGATATGGGCCAAAGTAATCGTCCTGGAGAGAAACCGCAGGGTTGCCAAGGCTTATGCGAGGGCGCCCGTCCTAACGATCAACGGGTCGGATGATGGGTTCGACGGCTTCCGGTGAGTGAAGTGTAACAGTCACTTTCAGTTTCATTGTTACCATAGCAACAGCTTAAACCAGATGTGGTCAACAAGTTTCACCTGTCAGTCGGATGGACTTACTTCGCGGTAACCGCCGGCAGAACACTCTCGCGGCGATATTCTGTACTTAAACTGTAATCGGTTTTTCATACTAACACAGAACCGGGTTAGCTCAGTCGGAAGAGAGACGGGCTCGACGTCCGGAGTTGGATTCCCGGCAGGAGAAAGACTTTTCTTCTTTCACCAGGAGTAAAGTGGCAAGTAGTTAGTTAGTTATTGGAGAGGGTGGGTTTCCCCATGCACTTAGACCTGTATTGGTGCATTGTCCTTCCCTCTATGATATTCTACCAGTCTCTATATCCTACCGGTACTGGTGCTTACCATCAGTCCCGCCCAGCCAGCGAGACCGGCTCTACTAGCTGAGAGGTATCTATAATGCTTCCCCCATCTACCGGAGGTATTAGTGACTGCTGTTGAGCGGCAAACATCCGCAATTTTGCTCAGTGACCTCCTTTGAAGATACGAGGTTCTTTTATGTGCCGTAAAGCTACGACACGGGACCCACGGCTTAAAGTCCCTCCCGGAGGACTTGTTCCCTGAATTTTTCCGCCCTTAAAAATTCTACGACCTCCGCCGGGTATTTGAACCCGCGTACTACGAGTCATGAGGTGGGAACGTTATCTCTAGACTGCGGAGGCCGCTTAAAGTGGCAAGTATGTGAACCTCACTTCTCACCGCCATCTAGTTCTGAGGGCAAGAACGGTGGAGCTATACCTCCATTCCTCCATACGTTTTCACGCCGTAGTAACTTCACCTTTACCTTGTATTATGTCACATGTCAGGAAAAAATACAAGATTTATATAATAGATCCTATACACTTACTTACTTATGGAGCCGAGCCCTTCTTGAGGAGAAGCCAAATCTGCAGCTACTCAAAATTTTCCCAGCATTTTATGGAACCCGAAGGTTCATTACCGTGTTCACAAGAGCCCTCCACTGGTCCACATCCTGAGCCAGATCAGTTCAATCCATACCATCCCATCCTATCTCTCTAAGATCCATTTTAATATTGTCCACCCGCCTACGCCGTGGTCTTCCCAGTGATCTCCTTCCTTCTGGTTTTCCCACCAATATATATGCATTCCTCTTCTCCCCCATTCATGCTACGTGCCCTGCCCACACATCCTATACACAGTTAAATAACAATGAAGTTTCCCAATGGACTGATTTAGAAGTGACCAACCCGTCACGCTTCTGAGCTAAGCCTCTAAGTTGAGCCGGTTTTGCACCAGAACCGCGTGTTTTCCGGTGCACAATATCAGCCACCTAGTTCCCACACGGATTACGTTTCAGCTAACCACGCCACCCCTCACCGCTTTCCCCACACAAAACCAGAAAATCTCATGTGACAACATTACGCAAATATCCACTCCTTCCGGACGCTGCGATACACTGGCTCAGCCCCGGGCAGTTCGTCCCGTGTTATAAGTTCGGGTCTATAATCCATTTGTTCTGTATGCAGTGTAACTGTCAAACCCTTGCATTAAGTGTAACAAGTGAACGCGTAATGAGGACATAATGCGACTTAGCGTACCCAGCCGCACTGGCCGCGCGGACTAAGCCATGAATTGCCTTGAACACTTGGATCGTGGGTTCGAATTCCACTCGAGGCATGGATGTCTGTCCGCGTTTATTCTGTTTGTGTTGTTCTGCGTGTAGGTAGTGGCCTTACGACGGGCTTATCCCCTGTCCAAGGAACACTATCGACGGTGTATAACTTAAGAAACTGAAAAAAAAGAAGAAGTCAAGGTTCAAGAAAGGTCTGTAGAGCCACAGACAGACAGACAGACCTGCCCGAACACTAATAATCTCACTTCGCAGTCGCACACAAAATAACACACCACACTTAAACAAAACACACCACACTCAAACAAAACACAGCACACGAAACTACACAAACAACAAAGGACACACTAGAACATAGTAAATACAATGCAAATACACTCACAACTATAACAAATACAATTACAACTACAATTATATAAATTATTATTTATAAAAGAATAAGTGTACTATACACTAAACAGTAAGAGTACGGGAACGTGTAAGTCATTATGCTATTAAAAATTTCGCGAGATAAATATATGTTATAAAACTTACGGTTTTGCGCTCTTATGTTGGCAGCACTGTAAAAGAATTATTACGAATTGCCAACATGTTAGCTCAAGGACAAGACGACGCATAAATTACTAATCAACCAGTTGGCGCTCTCGTTGACTGAAGCGTACAGCCGAACCAAAAACTGGACCTGGTTTCTGTACACTCGGAGCAGCAAGAAAACAGAAGAGTTCTGCCCTCAGCAGAGTGCAATCGGTTGTACCCCAGAAGACCACCCATGCGAGAACTTCAAATCTTAGAAGACAAAGAATATCTTAACATAATAATTCCAAACATATTGTAATTTAATAATAATCAAAAGTACTCGTTATGACCTCCAGTGAATATTATCACAAACCAGTATAATCCAATCCGTATTTTCATACTCAGTTTCTCTAGACCCATTTTGAATTATCCTTCTATCTACTACGCCAATGTGGCCTTTCCCTTGATAATTATTCACAAAAATGTTGTATATATTTCTTATTTCTCTACTCTTGCTGAACATCCCTTACCTTAGCTCCTTTATTATGCGTTATTCTCCTATTATGCACGTGAAATCACATAAAGCTGGTTGTGTCTCTGTCCACGGGTCTCAAATTCGAGAAGTGCTAAACGGATTTTGATGAAATTTGGTTTAGATGTGATGTATACACTATTACTAACACATAACACGAATCTGTGAGGTTGGGGCGACACTAGCATCGTCTTAATTATGAACCTGAAGTTATACATGATAACACATCTTCGAAGAATATCCAAATTCTGTCACTTATTTTCTTGCTACTTAAAACATAAGACAAATGCTACATACATTCTTTTTTCAAACTTTAATGATCCAAACGAACAAATTAGTCAATATATTGGTATTTATTTGGAATAAATCCGGTTCAAATTTCGACCGGAACATAAATTATGCTAATTGAGATTTATACTAATTTTACTTTTGGACTACAATAGTATACAAAAGTAGGCCACGACATATCCCTTTCACTTTCTCTCGAACGCATTATTCCAATACTCAACCCACAATTCCACTCTACATAAGCCGAGTTACTGATAACGTCATAAAATATATCCATAATGAAGTAAATTAATTATAATTTCGTCTTGAAAACCATTTATTAAGCATTACAGGAATCTGCATGAATGAACACAAATTGGAGTAATTAAACGCTCGTGTTAATGACGACCTCGAACTACGGTTCGCCGTTCGCAGCTGTCTTGTAATGGGCAGTCACTATACTCCAGCTAAGCTACGAGTTCGAAACGTTAAAACCTCATTGGCTGACCACAGTAATAGCTCAAGGTCGTCGTCATCTTTGTCTATCTGCTCCACTTTTCTTTTCACTTCATGCCCTGGCCTTATTATTACACGAAGTCTTCTGTGGGTCTGTAACTTCACATATTGTGCCATTTAGATCGTGTGTCAGAACCACTGGGTTTTCGGAAACTGGATCTGTTTCCGTCCTCAGGTGAGGAGGAAGACACCTACTCTATTGGGTCCCTTAGAAAGAGCTAACCTCAATCACAGGGCCAGGTCCTCATGTGAGAGGGAGACACCTACTCTGTTAGGTCCCTTAGAAAGAGCTACTTCAATCATAGGACCAGGTCCTCATGTGAGGGGGAGACACCTACTCTGTTAGGTCCCTTAGAAAGAGCTAACTTCAATCACAGGACCAGGTCCTCATGTGAGAGGGAGACACACCTGCTCTGTTGGGTCCCTTAGAAAGAGCTAACCTCAATCACAGGGCCAGGTCCTTGTGCGAGAGGGAGACACCTACTCTGTTGGGTCCCTTAGAAAGAGCTAACCTCAATCACAGGGGCAGGTACTTATGTGAGAGGGAGACACCTACTCTGTTGGGTCCCTTAGAAAGAGCTAACCTCAACCATAGGGTCAGGTCCTCATGTGAGAGGGAGGCACCTACTCTGTTGGGTCCCTTAGAAAGAACTAACCTCAATCACTGGACAAGGTCCTCGGGTGAGAAGGGAGATATAACATCGTGGTCCGTAGAAAATCAACAGACGTTTCGAAGGGATATGTCGTATCTATCTTCAGGGTCCAAAAATAAGCAAAGTGGGAAATCAGTATGAAGAAAGTAGCAAGGAAGATTTTTCGACATTTTCCTCTAGTTACGTCGTCTAACGACGTCATATCCCATATATCTCCTCAAATATTTGTACGTCTACAGGAATTCATTAACTGGATGGACAGCGGCACGATTCCACCAAGGAGTAACAAGCAAATCGCTTGCAATGCTTTGTTACCCATCGTACTGACGCTTGCTGGGTGACTGTTGCGTGGTAACCTACTGACAAGGAGGTGGTTCTGTGGCGGCAGTTCAGATTGACAGACGCTGGAGACAACTTGACAACCGTTAACTAATAAAATGAAGGTCATCCAGCTGCACACAAAATAGAGCACACAGAAACCTTATTATCATAAAGCATCAAGAATCCAGTCTATCGCCTTTTTGTTTCCATGGAAACCAGATCACTGTGACGGCTTCAACTTTTCCTTTCTACAGTGTATACGTCTGAATTCTTGACTTCTTCTGTCTGCATTCGACTGGCTAGGCTTGTCCAATTCAGTCCATTACTTTAGACTGCAAAAGACTGCTGACTGACGCTCACTCACTCATGGAGCCGAGCCCTTCTTGAGAAGTCGCTAATTCTGCAGCTACTCAAGAACTTCCCAGCATTTTATCGGACCCGAAGGTTCATTACCGCGTTCACAAGAGCCCTCCACTGATCTCTATCCTGAGCCAGATCAGTCCAGTCCATATCATCCCACCCTACCTGTCTTAAAGTTCATTTTAATATTGCCCACCCACCTACGTCTTGATTTTCCTACTGGTCTCTTTCCTTCTAGATTTCCCACCAATATCATATATGCATTCTTCTTCTTCCCCATTCGTGCCACGTGTCCTCCCCATCTCATCCTCCTCCACTTGATGACGCTGACGCAGTAACATTTACTTTTAATTCTAATTAAATCATATATCTATGGTTTATTTAATGACGCTGTCAATAATTCATATGATGGGCTTATAGCGGTTATTTATTGAACGATATTGAGCATATAAAGATGAAGAAAAAGGAGGTGGTGTCCTGAGTCACGATACTATCCCAACATCTGCCTCAGGGTCTCAGGGAAATCTCTAAAAGCCTCATTTAGGAGTATATGGGTCAAGGAACAAAATCAAACGAGGTACCACCCGAATGCAGGTCAAAAACATTACCACTTATGCCATATTGTTAAAATTGAAATATTCTGAGACCAGTTGTCACGTGTCCGGGGGTCCGTAACGAATAATAACGGGGTTTGGCATTGGTGATTGGATTTATTAACACCTGCTTGCACAATCTTTCTTAATCACAATCACTTACATTAACTCACACTCAATCTTCAGTCGAACCCTTCTCTTCCATGACTGCTGAGGAATCGCTCCATTCTCATTCTTGTTCTAAGACTGGACTATTTATATTGTCTCGAGGCGGATCCATAGAAAACACGTCCGTTACGCAGCAATGGATAAATGCGAACGACATAGAAAACACCGCTTCCTCTTCTGTTGTATTTACAGCGCGTTGCATAGAAACGGAAGTTATTCTATTGTTGCTTGCGTATTCGTTGTCGCGTGTTGTTGTAAGCTTTACCTAGCAACGGGCTGTTTACCCAGAATCTCTTTCCGCGGGAACGTCTTTACCGAGTCGTTGTCCAGCAACGGGTTTACATGTCACAACAGAGTAATCATTGGGCTGTATATGCATTAGCCCGTTTTAATATTCAATTTCCTTTCGAGGGCTCTTTCTCTTGCGCGTGATTCACAGTAACTGAAATGAAGCAAAATGAGGCCAACAGCCTTCATACAAATAAATACATTAATTTCTGTGATTATGAATCCACTGAACATTTGATCTATGGCAGCACTTCCCGTGTCTTTTCTTTCTCGAATATCGATTTAAATAACGAGATACAGACATATTTCCGTGCTTCCCCGTCACAGAAAGAAGTCTGTGCAGTGATCATGTCCGGCCGTACTCACTCTCTGAAACTGAGATCACGGGTTTGAATACCGGTTTGCATTTGGAAAAATGCCCACGGTTTCAGGAGTCAAAGCTACGATGCGATCGTTTTCAGAGTTTCGTGAGCAGTGAAGGGTCGTAACAGACATGGAGAGAGTCATTTATATAATCGTACTTGTATGGTACTAATTTCACCCATAAACGGCGGTCGCTTGGTCGATATAGTTCGCTTACGGACTACAGGCCACGGAGTTTGTTCGTTTTGTTTTGTTGTAGTTGTAATTGTATTTGTACTGTATTCATTGCGTGTAGTGTATCATTTATTGTTTGTATAATTTTGTGTTCTGTGTTTTGTTTGAGCGTGATGCATTTTTTGAGTGTTGTGTCTTATTGTAGTAGAACTGCCATCCGGTAAAAACCCATTTGCAGTTAAAGTAAATAATAAAAAGACCACAATATGACCCAGTGACTTTCTAGCAGATGAAACTTGATAGTAACTAGCCAAGTCAACAGGAAAGCATTGACCGAAGGAAATGAGAAGCCGGAACAGGCTAATCCATGAAGGAGAAGGAAGGAGAGAAGATTAAGGAGAAAAATAAAAAAGAAGGGAAACACCAGAAAAACCAGAAAAGTCATAAACAGACCAAATTTCACGGTACAGCTGTTGGAATTAATGTCGGTATTTGGATGTTCAGGGTTTGAATCAAGGACTTCATTAATATTAGTCAGTTGGCCAACAGTTGTTAAGAAGAGCAGGAGGATACTCTGGTTACTAAGTTTTATGAGTCTGTCTTTTCGTATAAAATAATATAAATTGTTATTTTTGTCCTGAGTAAGAAACGTTTCGTAAAAGAGCCGGTAAAAAAAAAAAAAAGGAAGGAAAGAAAATGTATAATTCACGGTAAACTTGTCACCCGAAGGCCAAGTGTAGCCTCCACCCTGGGTTACACAGCTCAATGCGCGCGACCGCCATCTTTTGATTGTTCCTGTAAATCGCGAAGACATTCTGTAAAACTAACATGGCGACCTTCAATTGTTCGCGTTTGGTCATTGTGCCTCATTGTCACATTTTTCTTCTTTCTGACAAGAAGATCTTTGAAGATCATCACCACGTTCATTCGTTCCACTCAGACCGTTACAAAGGACCCGTCGGAAGGGCAGATTTCATGCGCTACGCTGAGTGTCAGAGGATCTTGTTAACAGGCAGAAAGACTGGATACAGTTTCCTTCCTCCTTGTTTCTTATCTTCATGTCGCCCTTCTACTTCGTGTTCAGGTTAATTCTTCTTATCCCTCCAAATGGTCTTACTTTTCACATACATTCTCCTTCTGTTTATACTTTCTTGTTTCTCTACATCTTCAATTCCAAGTACGCATTTTCCTTGTCTTCTCACTTCTCCTCGCCGACTTTATCACTTTAATTTTGTCCCCTCCTTTTGATCTTTAAATCCTGTGGATGTGGGGAGTTTCAAGTGTTTCGGGTGTAAATTCTGCTTCCATCTTCATGTTTGAAGTGCGTAGAATAGGTGACCTATATATACATAGGTTGTGTTTCGAAAGAGCCATAGGAGGACAAGTGAAGGTTCATGTCCCTTCAAGGATAATCAGGGTAGTTGACCGGTAAAAGCTTTTACCGGTTCTCACGGTCTCTTCGCTTGCAGATTTCTTATATTTTTTCTTCTACCCTGAAGATGGAGGCCATACGTTCCTCCGAAACGTCGGTTAACACCACATATTCACGGTGCCAAATCCCAGAAGAGTGCTTTCTTCATAGTCACCGCCGTGAAAGCCTCAAATCTTACATAGGAATTTACTCATCTGCGTTTCCTTACTTCCAGGATCGGGCTTTGTGGTTTCGACAATCCAATGAGGGACACAAAAACAGATGAAATAAAGCGACACATAGGACATGTAAGTACATGACGTCATCAACTTTCACGTTTCATATTTTCCCTTCACTAAGTGTACTTTTTTAAGAGATCAATTGCGAAGTTCCAGTTCATAGAGAGTTTGTATCTCCTGACACATTATGCAACCAGCAAAACGCATACATGCTGCCCGTTTTATGCTAGCCGTTACTTGAACATACAGATGGTTATAGTATACATAGTTACTTAGATACTGTGTTAAGTAGGTGATCAGGTGATAGGGGTGGCTGGATAAGCTGTTTCTGAATATTTATTAGGTAAATGTATTATAACAAATGGTAATTTTTTTTAAAGTAGTGTAAAAAAAAAAGTAAGTAAATCCATCCCTCTAACAGCCGTGGAGGCCCATAGGTTTGTGAGATGTCGAGTGACTCGAACCCGCGACCTCCCCGTTTGTAGTATAGTGCCTCAACCAACTACGGTACCGCGTACCCCCTGAAAGTCACGTATCCTCCTCTTATTTGTTATTGTTCTTGTTTTATATTAGACCTCGCAAACAACCCCCCCCCCAATAACGTCCCCAACTATTAAAAATACCTGTAGATGAGAACAGATCTAGCTGCCGAAATGTTGTATTAAATAAAAATGATAGAAAATGTAAAGTTCTCCCTGTGTTTAATTAAGCACTACGCCATGAAGGCGTACGGGGGAAGGGATGTACAAATCCCACGTTTTCCTGGCCTCTGCACTGGATGGAGTTCAACTGTCAGCTTCACGACCCGGTCTCTATACCTCCACGAAAAAAGCCCCCGGTACCCATCGGATAGGAGGCTCGGTGGGCTCCATAACGGGTCTGGACAATTGGAGAAGAGAAAATTCTTGCCCCTATCGGGACTCGAACTCCGTAACCAGTCGATATACCGATTGCGCTATCTGGTATCCCCATATTGTGGATAATGTCAAAACGGTTTAAGCATGCAGACAGGTAGTTAGGTGGGTAGACAGGTAGGTAAGTTTATTTGTAATATGATAGTGTCTAAGGTAATTGTGTATGTTGGTAAGATGATTAGAGCCGGTCACGATAGCCGAGCGGTCTAAGGCATGTACTGTCTTCGCTCGCTTGGAAACCGGGATCGTGGGTTCGAATCCCACTCAGGGCATGGATGTTTAGTTTGTGTGTGTGGGTTTTTCTGTGTTTATGTACAGGTAGAGGCCTTGCGAAGGCCTGATCAGCCGCCCAAGGAGTCCTACCGAATGTGTAAGATCTAGAAAAACCGAAGTGAACGGAGAAGTTCATGGAGGTAGGCCTAGGACCACTGGGGCTGTAGTGCCAAGGAAAAAAAAAGATGATTTGATAATCAAAAGCTGATAGGTAGATGAGTCAGGGTGCACTGTGTCAGATATCATATTAATTAGTGTGGTTAGTAGGTGTAGTGAGTAGTTCGGTAGAGAGTTAATTAAATCGAGAGGTGGATAATTAGACTGTCAAGTAGATATGTAGGTCTATAGGCAGTATTCACCCAAATATACATATATTCATCATGACCACAAGACAATTTTGTTTGCAGGGGATCAAAGTCAAGATGGACGATCAAGGCAACATCCTTGTGAAGCGCGTGTCCAAATGCAACGTCTACGTGAAAAGCACCAGCTCAGCAGAAGAGACAAGCATAGGAAATGACGTCCTGAAGTTGCCCAACTGCGCCCTCGAGATGGAAAAACCAGTCAAGGTCAGAACTACAGCTTCGTTTTCAGATATCCGCTCATAATAACTACAGAAATCAACAGATTTTAATGAAATTTTGTAACAACTTCACGCCGTTAGAGCTGACACAATTCCTTACAGATAATAATAATAATAATAATAATAATAATAATAATAATAATAATAATAATAGTGTCGTGCGAATGTCTGAGGTGGTGATGCTGAGATCTCGAGCACTGGGCCTCGAGGTTTGCAAAATGCTGAAATGGTTCCGTTCCTTTAGCATGTGGACGATCGTCCATCTTGTTTTCGTGGCTCATGTTTCATACGGTTACTGCGCATGTCCTTGTGAGAACACTTTCATCTGTTTGGAGAGCGCATTCTAGGAATGGTAACGTGAACTAGGGAAACAATACAAAGACTGTCAACACAGACGCACTGTGTTCCTTGGGAACTTAAATGGGTGAGACTAAGAACTCTTTCCCTAACTTTCTCTGAAATAGTTAGAGCGCAGAGCAGCTAGCTCGCATCTTAATCACCTGTTTACGTAAGTTTTACTTTACTATAATTATTTCACGCGACCAAATAGTTATACGTGTTCTGGCAATAAAGTTCGCGATCTCGCCACTGTGTTTGCCGTGGCAGCAGTGGGCAGAAATAAAATGGCATGTAAAGACTTAAGGCGCGTATTACAAGACTTTATTTATTTGTTGTTGTAGTCACAGTAATCTTGAAACTGTTATAATTACAATTATAAGTTACAATTAGTGAATATCCAATAAATCGACTCGAGGATCAGAACCCGCTATTTTAGTCACTGATACACGTGATAGTATTTAAATTATATTTGAAACATAATTTCTTAATAATATAAAATCAGGATCTGCAGCTGATATCTGTTGTGAAAAAATGCGAAGGATTTGTATGCAAACCAGTTTGGGCGTCCACTTCATCAGCTCCAGATCCTGATTTTCCGGCAACAGTAAGCTTCTGTCGCACGAGCACGAGTAATGTGGACGGGCCTTAAGAATCACGTTCGGAAATTTTCCAAGTTCAACCAAAAGTCCATCAGTTCGCTTTTCATTACTTGGCCTACTATAAAATTCTCCTTATTTAAACTTCCCATGCGATTTATAAGTTTAACAATTGGAAGCATGCACAGGGACACGAAAGGCTGCTGCCACACCAATCCGATAAAGTGCTCAGCTAAAATTGAGAGTGATACGTTCGACTTAAGGAGACCTTGAGAACACAGCAAGGTTAGGAATACGACATTCTGATCATGCGCATTGATCTCTGTGAGTTCAGAGCAGAGCAGAGCAGTCATTTGCTACTAGATTTCGTCAGGACAGGCATTCTTGCTTTCGGGTTCTTTCGGGACACACGACCATGCTTTTATTCTCTCTGTTGGTTATATTCTCCACGCCATTTTCATATCCGAGGACGGACTGCAAAGAAAACGCTCTTGTAACCTTCGTTTTAGTTCGATTGTTACTTTGTTCAGCCAGTCATGCCGGTGTAATCAGGGTTTGAACTTCTAAACATTGTTGCCTCCAAACGTGAGCCTGCTGTAAAGTTACCATTTCTTATGTTACAGCTTTTCGACATGAAGAAATTCCAACAGAACGTGAACCGAGAGCTACGGCGTGCCTACCCCGACAGGCGCAGGTTGGAGTGTCAATGTCTTAGCGCTGTGGCATTCGTGAAAAGCGAATCCGAGCTGCTGGACTGTCCCATCTGGGTGCTCATCATTAACGTGGTCGCCATGGACATGCTCAAGTCGAAACTTCCGCCAGGTAACTTTCCATCTGTTCTTACGTCTTCCTGGTTGTCTCTCGCCTTTAGGTTTTACAACTTAAATGTCACAGCATAGTATTTAATCTTTTTTTTTTTAATTTTCATGTGTCATGCCTGTATTTTCCGGCCTTCTCAAGGTTCATAATAATATCTTATTTTTCTTTTTGTAATTTTCTGTGTATTCCTATCACTTGGCGATAATAACCTTATGTTGTGGTATAGCTAAGGCGGTTAGTCGCTTTCTTCTCAACTCGGTGGCCAATGTTCGATCCCGTTAGGTCGCGTGGGATTTGCGGTGGACTAAAAAGGAGTGAGGCTGCTTTATCCGAAAACTTCGGTTTCTCCTGCCAATTTCAATTCCATCGTCTTCTCCAAATTCATTAATCATCCTATTAAAGGTGTCATGTAGTCTCGATACTAATAGCGTCGTTAAATAATCAACATGTGAATATTCCGCAACGAACTTTGCTCCCAGACAGCTTCAATCTTTTCCACAATTACAGTGAGACTAATACCAGGAACATGTAAAATATTTTGGGCCATACAACCTAAACAAAAAGAACTCCGTGGCCTGTAGTCCACAAGCGAACTATACCGACCGAGCGACCGCCGCTTGTCGGCAAAGTTAGTGCCAACTTTAGCGGATAGAGGTTGTCGTGTGATCAACGTAACGAATCCCCACGGCAATTAATCTCGGATTTCTAGAGCGGAGCCGCTATTTCCTTGCAATAGCTCCTCAGTTATTCTCACGAGGCTGAGTGGACCCCGTTCCGTCTTAGAGAATCTGGTAGCGCCTGAAATCGAATCGAGTACCTCTAAATTTGTAGCCAGGAACCCTGAGCGCTAGACCACAGAGGCGGTCCCATTAATTTTTAGTTAATGGTCCATCTGTAGTCCTACCATTGAACGCTACGTAATCTGGCTACTGCGAGAGTCATGAAGTAAACCGTAAAAATAGCCCGAAAGTGGATGTTATTCTACGCCATATGTATCTCGTTAACACCTCCATGTTCTATTTCGTTATAGACTACTGTAACTATTATCCTCGAACAGTAAGTTGATAGTCCTCATAGTTACGTCTATGATGACACGGAGCATTTTTATTTCTTGGATGCAACCGCCTTGAAAGCTAACTGAATAATAAAACTAAAAAAGCAATGAAGCTGAAAAAGATTTGTTACCACAGACGTTTTACTTGGTGCTTATACAGGGTGTTCATTTTATGAAGCTGCGAAAACATTCGGAAAACGAAGCTGGTCAAGTGTAATATGGGGAAAAGTTGATGGGTTTACAGCTGCAAGACGAGTTACATAATGAAGTCCCTGTATTTATAACACA